TGGGAGATGAGGTATGCTTGAGGTTATATGAGAGAAACTTGGAGAGGGTGGGGGCCTTCAGGTTCCTTGGGGTATACTTTGACACTAGACTGACCTGGGCAGAACACATTGAGAGAGTGGTGGGAAAGTGTAAGAAGGTGCTAAATGTGATGCACTGTCTGACGAGGAAGGAGTGGGGGGCTGGGCATTCCTCATTGAGGGCCATGTATGTTGCATTGATCCGATCTGTAATAGACTATGGAAGTATAGCATATGGTTCGGCAGCCCGGACCTCATTGGAAAGACTAGATGTCATACAGGGGCAAGGACTCAGAATATGTAGTGGGGCGTTTTGGACCTCCCCAGTGGCTGCATTACAGGTGGAGATGGGGGATATGCCATTGCAGATTAGGAGACAGCAGCTGGCAATGAGTTATTGGGTCAACCTACAGGGACATGGGGTGTCTCATCCTGCGAAAGGGATTTTACAGGCATGCTGGGAACATGAGCGAGGACAGAACACGAGCTTTGGGTGGGTGGGTAATACCCAGGCGAAGGAGATGGGAGTGTATGGAAGGGAGTTTAGTTCAACGGTAGCTATTCCTGTAAATCCACCATGGCTACTCTCCAGTAGTTGATCTAGACGTGTTGGAGAGACTACAGAAAGATAGGGAAGGTGTTGATCCACCTGCTTTATGAGGTACTACAAACCCATGGCAGGATTAGACAGATAAGATTTACTTGGGTTCCAGCCCATGTTGGGGTGGAGGGGAATGAGGCAGTTGATGTACTGGCTAATCAATCACTTAGTAGTTGGGATGTTGATCAAATCAAATCAAATGTATTGGTCACATACACATGGTTAGCAGATGTTATTGCGAGTGTAGCAAAATGCTTGTTCTTCTAGTTCCGACAGTGCAGTAATATCTAGCAAGTAATATCTAACAGTTCCACAACAAATATCTAATACACACAAATCTAAGTAAAGGAATGGAATAAGAATATATAAATATATGGATGAGCAATGTCGTTGTCAGAGCGGTGTAGGCTAAGATGCAATAGATAGTATAGAATACAGAATACTGAGATGGGTAATGCAAGATATGTAAACATTATTACGATAGTATAGAATACAGTATATACATATGAGACGAGTAATGCAAGATATGTAAACATTATTAAAGTGGCATTATTAAAGTGACTAGTGTTCCATTTATTAAAGTGGCCAGTGATTTTCAAGTCTGTATGTAGGCAGCAGCAGCCTCTAATGTGCTAGTGATGGCTGTTTAACAGTCTGATGGCCTTGAGATAGAAGCTGTTTTTCAGTCTCTCGGTCCCAGCTTTGATGCACCTTTACTGACTTTGCCTTCTGGATGATAGCGGCGTGAACAGGCAGTGGCTCGGGTGGTTGTTGTCCTTGATTATCTTTTTGGCCTTCCTGTGACATCGGGTGCTGTAGGTGTCCTGGAGGGCAGGTAGTTTGCCCCCGGTGATGCGTTGTGCAGACCGCACCACCCTCTGGAGAGCCCTGCGGTTGTGGGTGGTGCAGTTGCCGTACCAGGCGGTGATACAGCCCGACAGGATGCTCTCAATTGTGCATCTGTAAATGTTTGTGAGGGTTTTAGGTGACAGGACAAATCTCTTCATCCTCCTGAGGTTGAAGAGACGCTGTTGCGCCTTCTTCACCACACTGTCTGTGTGGGTGGACCATTTCAGTTTGTCAGTGATGTGTACGCAGAGGAACTTAAAACGTTCCACGTTCTCCACTGCTGTCCCGTCGATGTGGATAGGGGTGTACTCCCTCTACTGTTTCCTGAAGTCCACGATCATCTCCTTCATTTTGTTGACGTTGAGTGAGAGGTTATTTTCCTGACACCACACTCCGAGAGCCCTCACCTCCTCCCTGTAGGCTGTCTCATTGTTGTTGGTAATCAAGCCTACTACTGTTGTGTTGTCTGCAAACTTGACGATTGAGTTAGAGGCGTGCATGGCTACGCAGTCATGGGTGAACAGGGAGTACAGCAGGGGGCTGGGCACACACCCTTGTTGAGCTTTGACCTCACCCTCTCACCGTCCCCCCCTACTCACAAGGCAGGCAATACGCTTGACCTCATCTTTACTAGATGCTGCTCTTCTACTAATCTCACTGCAACTCCCCTCCATGTCTCCGACCACTACTTTGTATCCTTTTCTCTCTCGCTCTCCTCCAACACTACTCACTCTGCCCCTACACAGATGGTAATGCGCCGCCGCAACCTTCGCTCTATCTCTCCCACTACTCTCTCCTCTTCCATCCTATCATCTCTTCCCTCTGCTCAATCCTTCTCCCTCCAATCTCCTGATTCTGCCTCCTCAACCCTCCTCTCCTCCCTTTCTGCATCCTTTGACTCTCTGTGTCCCCTATCCTCCCGGCCGGCTCGGTCCTCCCCTCCAGCTCCGTGGCTTGATGACTCATTGCGAGCTCACAGAACAGAGCTCCGGGCAGCTGAGCGGAAATGGAAGAAAACTAGACTCCCTGCGGACCTGGCATCTTTTCACTCCCTCCTCTCTACATTTTCTTCATCTGTCTCTGCTGCTAAGGCCACTTTCTACCACTCTAAATTCCAAGCATCTGCCTCTAACCCTAGGAAGCTCTTTGCCACATTCTCCTCCCTGCTGAATCCCCCCCCCCCCCCCCCCCCCCCCCCCCCCCCCCCACCACCTCCTCCCTCTCTGTGGATGACTTCGTCAACCACTTTGAAAAGAAGGTTGACGACATCCGATCCTCGTTTGTTAAGTCTAATGACACTGCTGGTCCTGCTCACACTGCCCTACCCTATGCTTTGACTTCTTTCTCCCCTCTCTCTCCAGATAAAATCTTGCGACTTGTGACTACAGGCCACCCAACAACCTGCCCGCTTGACCCCATCCCCTCCTCTCTTCTCCAGACCATCTCCGGTGACCTTCTCCCCTACCTCACCTCGCTGATCAACTCATCCTTGACCGCTGGCTATGTCCCTTCCGTCTTCAAGAGAGCGAGAGTTGCACCCCTTCTCAAAAAACCAACACTTGATCCCTCTGATGTCAACAACTACAGACCAGTATCCCTTCTTTCTTTTCTTTCCAAAACTATTGAGCGTGCCGTCTTTAGCCAACTCTCTTGCTATCTCTTTCAGAATGACCTTCTTGATCCAAACCAGTCAGGTTTCAGGACTGGTCATTCAACTGAGACTGCTCTTCTCTGTGTCACGGAGGCTCTCCGCACTGCTAAAGCTAACTCTCTCTCCTCTGCTCTTGTCCTTCTAGACCTGTCTGCTGCCTTTGACACTGTGAACCATCAGATCCTCCTCTCCACCCTCTCCGAGCTGGGCATCTCCGGCGCGGCTCACTCTTGGATTGCGTCCTACCTGACCGGTCGCTCCTACCAAGTGGCGTGGCGAGAAGCTGTCTCCGCACCACGTGCTCTCACCACTGGTGTCCCCCAGGGCTCAGTTCTAGGCCCTCTCCTGTTCTCGCTATACACCAAGTCACTTGGCTCTGTCATATCCTCACATGGCCTCTCCTATCATTGCTACGCTGACGATACACAACTAATCTTCTCCTTTCCCCCTTCTGATAACCAGGTGGCGAATCGCATCTCTGCATGTCTGGCAGACATATCAGTATGGATGACGGATCACCACCTCAAGCTGAACCCTGGCAAGACGGAGCTGCTCTTCCTCCCGGGGAAGGACTGCCCGTTCCATGATCTCGCCATCACGGTTGACAACTCCGTTGTGTCCTCCTCCCAGAGTGCGAAGAGCCTTGGCGTGACCCTGGACAACACCCTGTCGTTCTCCGCTAACATCAAGGCGGTGACCCGATCCTGCAGGTTCATGCTCTACAACATTCGGAGAGTACGACCCTGCCTTACACAAGAAGCGGCACAGGTCCTAATCCAGGCACTTGTCATCTCCCGTCTGGATTACTGCAACTCGCTGTTGGCTGGGCTCCCTGCCTGTGCCATTAAAACCCCTACAACTCATCCAGAATGCCGCAGCCCGTCTGGTGTTCAACCTTCCCAAGTTCTCTCACGTCACCCCGCTCCTCCGCACACTCCACTGGCTTCCAGTTGAAGCTCGCATCTGTTACAAGTCCATGGTGCTTGCCTATGGAGCTGTGAGGGGAACGGCACCTCCGTACCTTCACGCTCTGATCAGTCCCTACACCCAAACGAGGGCATTGCGTTCATCCACCTCTGGCCTGCTGGCTCCCCTTCCTCTGCGGAAGCATAGTTCCCGCTCAGCCCAGTCAAAACTGTTCGCTGCTCTGGCACCCCAATGGTGGAACAAGCTCCCTCACGACGCCAGGACAGCGGAGTCACTCACCACCTTCCGGAGACATTTGAAACCCCACCTCTTTAAGGAATACCTGGGATAGGATAAAGTAATCCTTCTACCCCCCCCCCCCCCCCCCCCCCCCCCTAAAATTTTTTTATCCCACTGGCTATGGGGTGACTGCACCAATTTGTAAGTCGCTCTGGATAAGAGCGTCTGCTAAATGACGTAAATGTAAATGTTGAGGATCAGTGAAGTGGAGATGTTGTTTCCTACCTTCACCACCTGGGGGCTGCCCGTCAGGAAGTCCAGGACCCAATTGCACAGAGCGGGGTTGAGACTCAGGGCCTCAAGCTTAATGATGAGCTTGGAGGGTACTATGGTGTTGAATGCTGAGCTATAGTCAATGAACAGCATTCTTATATAGGTATTCCTCTTGTCCAGATGTTGTAGTTTCAATGAGCAAAGCAGAGGCAACAAGCTTGATATGGACAGTGATGGTGCAGAGATGGCAGGAGCAGTGGAATATAGATACTAAGAGCAGGCATTTATGTTTTGTTTTGTTTTTTAAGAGCAACGGGGTTGGTAGGATTTAGTTTCTCCCTGTCTCTGGCCCACACTCCAGTACAGTAGGTGGCGGTAATGGATCATAACGTTAGATTCCAACCGCCGATTTACCCCAACAAAGAAGAGGTTGTGGGGTTCTAGTGATATCTCGCGGTACCTGTGCGAGTAGTTTAGCTTCATTCCACCACGGAGAAGCCAGTGGAACGTGTCGGTTATAGCTCAAGTTGGTACTTTAATTTGCAACCACGTAGAAACAGCCAGAAAGGAACATTTATTAACATAATACATTTGTTTTATTGCCTGAAAGGACATAAAGTGAGCTACATATTACGGACTGGAATCCAGGACGAATTCTGTGATCTACAAATAAACTATCTAGCTAGCGTGCTAACAAAGAAAATCCTTTCTCTTGAGAAATAATCCTCACTATTCTCTTTAGTTATGAGTCATGTGGTCGTTGATAATCCACACGGTCTAGATCAGCAGGTGAGTGTTTACTTCATTTTTAATTGATTTAGTAAAATTACAAATGAACAAATATCGTTAGGACAGCTAGAATAACACTGTCAGCGTATGCTAAATTAGCAAGCTAAAGTGGTTGTAGCCAAGCTACGTTAGCTAGCGCGTAGCTAACTGCGTGGATATGGCTGGTAAAATGGTGGTTGGTGTGTGTCGCCGGTGAAATTACATGGTCATGGCGGAGCTAGCGAATGCTGCCTGGTAATATTCGGTTTTGATCAGACTTCTTGGTAGCAAATTCTTTGTCTCAAAAAGATTGTCGTGAACTCTTGCTATCCATTACTGCATAGTAGCTAGCTAGTTGTCAGATTTTTTTATTTGTATACCTATATACTGTATTTAACCAACCAGACTAAGGTTAGCTACACGTGAGGCCGGTATCGATTGCGCAGTTGATGATTTTACGGCAATTTTATCCAGGCTTGGTTAGGCCTTAGCTAACGTTGGCTAGGTCATGTAACTATCTACAGAGCCTAGATTGTCAGCATGTATAATAGTTAGATACCTGGCAATTGATATTCAACTAACTTTAGTTTAGTAGTTAGCTGGTTACCTTGATGAAATTCTACCGGCCGGTAAAAGTAACGTTAACTGCTGAGTCTTGAAACGTGGCGCAGGAAATAACAATTGCTCTACTGTATAGTAGGTGACGAATAGTAAAAAACCTACTCCAGACTAAGTTTACAAAGCCAATATATCATTGGCTAGTTAATGTTGGGTTTTAGTTATGTAAAACCTAGTTAACTAGCAATTTAACTTCCGTTGATTTTATTTTCTATGTAGCTAGTTAGATGTTAACGTTAGTCTATTCACTACTAACCTTAGGGCCCAAGCCAAGAACGTTGGCTGTGAATCGAAACTTTAGCACACACAGAATCACCTTATCTTTAATAATGTCAACATTCGATTTGTTGACTTGACCTACAGGCTATCTCTCATAGTGAAAACTTGAACTTTTCCAGCCAGTGCTAGGATCTGATTTTTTTTGTGGCACTGTGCTCTATCAGATTTTGAAGCATTTATTCACCCCTTGGTTATACCATGCTTGTGTTAAGTGTGCCTTAACAGTATTTTATGTATTTTCAGCTTGCTGGCCTAGACTTGAACTCTGACGGACAAGGAGGCAGTAAGTATTCACATAAATTGAACTGTCTCAAGTGGTGTTCCTCTTTGAGCACAGATGTTCATAGCAGAATGATATAATAGATAATGCAATTATTTACTAATAGCCATACACAGTGCAATAATACATTTGTTCAGTAATTTTGACAATCCTCTTTCGCAGAACAATTTGCTATCATTGAATGCCCTAAGGCAAGGGTTCACAAACTTCTTTGGCCCGCATCCCCATTTTGATATAAATAATTTCCTCACCCCCACCATGTAAAAAAAATAAATACAAGTGATCAACGGCCAATCCTAACTTTAAAAAAAAAATTGGAACTATGACAGTCTATTACAAATCAGTCTGACAGAATTTCAATCTGAAGGACGTATGGTTTGAAGTGACTGAAATGCATCAAAAAGGTATTTGGATGTTCAGAAGATAATTAAGCAATCATTTTGTATGGTCTATGTAGAAAATAACATTGTCATCATTGATGTCCCCCCCCAGTCTTATTTAGTACCTGTTCTTGTCCACTCTGTTCTAGTGAATCCTGCGCGTTTGTGAGCATTGTAGAGGGAAACTGAAGACTCGTGTTCCTTAGTCTTATCTTTCCGTGATGGGGTCATTATATTTTGTAGCTTAAACCGTTCAAAAGTTAGAGCCACATTTGTAGGAAGTGACCCGAAACCGCTTACTGACAAACCCGGTTCTATGGACCAGGCGTGATTTTTGTAAGTTTATCTCAGTTTCTCTCGCGACCCCATTTTCAAACCAGGCAACACCACATAGTTTTGGAAACGCTGCCCTAAGGGGTTAGCATGTACAGATGACATGTATGCTGAAGGTGGCAAAAGGACACTTGTGAGTTGTATCAATTTGCAAGACCATTTTTATTTTTTATATATAGGATACCTTTAAAATTTTCCTGAACAAGGATTTGCATGCAGTGTAGCTCATTGTGGCGATTCCGTTTATCCTCATATTCATAGCTTTACCATACAATGTGTTTCTCGATACGAAGACTGACAGTCCTACGATTTTTCACTTTTTCCAGGGCGTTACATTCCACCTCACTTGAGGAACAAAGAGGTTTCCAAAAACGGTAAGTCATCACTTTGACACACAGTAAATTACACACAAGACAATGATTATGTCCCAATTCTATAGGCATACCCTTCTGCCCTAAGTGTGCACTTGGTCACTTCCCTTCATGGATTTAAAAGTTAAGGTGTAAACTCGCTTTAGCCTACCCTTACACCATTTCAGTCCTTTTAAATGCATGAGGCAGGGTGTACAAGTACAGAATTAGAAAACAAAGGACTTGTCATTTAATGAAGGTGTACAATATGTTTTGGTCAGTGTTTTAATAGGGTAAGGATGCATTTTTGTCAGTTAAGCAGAATTCTATTTTTAAAATATCACAGTAACCCGATTTGTACGCATTTCTGCTCCTCCTTGAGGCCAAAGGCAACCAAGAAAGACTAAAATTCCCCTAGTGCAGGAGTTTATGGGAAAAAACTACAATTGATTGTCTCTGTGCTTTTATTGGAAAATACAAAGTAGAGCATGCTACCCTCAAAGTAAAACCAGATGCTTTACCCCATCCTGAACAGCATGAAAATATGTCTTTCAGAGTAGGCCTTAAGGAATTAAATGCTTTTGTCATTCTATACGATGGCGCCAGTGTATGGCGACACTTCACAAGCAACTCTCTTGCTACTGTTTGTCATTTTGTTAACCAAGTTGTTTATCCAAAATGTAGCACTAACACTTAATTACAACCTGAGTTAGTTTTTCTTGACTAACAATTTTTGGCGCACAAACGTGGAAATAATCTTACTCCTGTTCACCAAATTTGTAATACTTAATGATCAAATGTCACCCCTTCCACCTGCATAAGGAGTTTACCTGTTATTATGATAACTGTTGCCGTACAGCCCCAAGCCAATTATTCTACAACTTTTGACAAACTTAATTATAGCGTTATTAAAACAAATAGGAAAACGTGCAGCCAGAGGCCATATCTATCGTCGCGGAGGACTATAATTTGCCACCTGGGGAAAGTACTGGCAAAATACTTTCAATATGTCCCCTGACCAGGTGTGACAAAACACTGGACCATTGCTGCTCCTTCACCCAGGGACCATATCGCTCCTTGACACAACCCTACTTCAGCGATCAGATCACTCATCAGTCCTTCTTACTTCCTGTTTACAAAGTGATGAGCACAAAGGCTACACTTAGTGTACAGTTAGTGCTGATCCAGTGACTTGCAACTAGGATACAAGGACTTCTACAATAAATTAATGTGTGACCTAGAGCAGTGGTTCCCAAAGCTCTTGAGGACCACCATTCGCACAGTCACATTTTTTTTGCACAAAATAACTTAACGGACCTCCCGTTGGGAACGGCTGACCTAGAGAATGTTATTGAGGTTGCTGGAAGACCGAAGGAGAAACTGGAAAACTAGTTCAGGGTATCCGACTGGTGCACGTGGCAAGTACTTCAGGCCATCGCAGAACAAAGCTAGCGGAATTGCCCACATTGACTCCTCACTCCCAGATGAGCTGAACAACTCCGAACTACAGCTTCCAGCAACTCAGAGGAATATTTACGAAAGTTTCAATCAAGACACGATGTTCTGTTGTCCAACCTTGTAGTCTTGTGATTCCTAATGTTTGTTGGCCGGGTGTTTGTTGGCCTGTTATCGGCACAGGCATATGTTGAGTTGCATGAGTTAACAGGGCTGTTATACCAAGCACTATCGCTGACGTGAAGAGACTACGCGACAGACCAGGCAACTAGTTTTTAAAGCTGAACTTCACGCAAATTATCAGCGACGTACCAGTTTTGTTTGCTACTTGCTCCCCACTGGGCCCAACACATCACAGTAATCTTTAGGGCAAGATAAGTCTGAGTTCTAAGAAAGTGTCCCACTAGCACTGACTCATTATGGCTAAAGACTGACTTGCCTCTTAGAAGTTGTGCAAAATCTTAAATGTCAGAGTAAATCCCAATTGAACATCTCATTGATCATGGCACAGAGTTTGTCTTGGGTTAGTTTCATCTACCTTTTGTGACGTTATTTGTCTTTTTATTCCACAACAGAAAATGCCTATTCCTCTGGTAGACAGTACGGTTATTCAGTGCCACCACCAGTAAACTTCTGTAAGTCCCTTCCGTCTGCTTTGTGCTGAGATGCATGAAATGGCCTTACGCACAGCAACACCAATGTGGGGTGTTCCAGATGCACAGGTTCTGTTCAATGGAGCTTTATCATTTTGAGATGGTTCCTAAAATGTTCAACAACTTCATAGTAAAGATCTGATAATGTGCATTGGCACAAACTTCAGCTGAATCTGTATCTGGAACCCAATGTGAAATGGGCTTAGACTTTTGAAAGACAATACTTTTACCACTCAGAGAATCAGAGAACGCCACCCACAATTCCCACTACTGGGAATAGGGTATCTCTTTAGAATATGCAGCCATAGTCGGGTGTCGAGGCTACTTTTAGTATGAAGTAGCTTGCTTTTGGTGAAAAGGGTGTTTTTTAAATGTCTTTTGAGTAAGGTTCTGCCCTGCATCGCTAGTATGGCTGTATTACTAATGCCAATGGGAGCTGCTCAATGCTCAATGCTAACATCCTTATGTTGAGTATCTGCAGTAGGAATAAAGCTGTATCAAAATGAGCCAACATTGTGCCTTCTGATCATCCTAGGAACATACCAAATGAATACAATTAAAGCAGAGCCTGTTCGATGAGCTTAAATGTCTAGTATTCTAGCCTATACTTGGAATCCTTCCTATAGGCACTGTAATGTTGCGTTCATAACCAAGTGGGAAGGTGGTATTTACCACATACAACTGGGGAAAATATCATCCCTGAGCTCTGACTTCTCCCACATGCTGACCTCTGACGTCACCTACTAAGGAAATGACCTCGAACAGCATTTAAATGCAACAACAATACGCTATTAATAAAAATAAATCTATTCATGGTTTTTGAACATAATTTCAAGCATGATAGCTGTACTTTTTAGCCAATCTGCGTTTTTTAAATGAGTTCAAAGCACGTGAATGCATCTTAACTGGTATTTATGATGTCACAACTGCTAATTACAACCATCCCACTTGGTTATGAGTGTGTCAATGTAAATAGTCTGGGTGGCCATTTTTATTAATTGTTCAGCAGTCTTATTGCTTGGGGGTAGAAGCTGTTAAGGATCCTTTTGGTCCTAGACTTGGTGCTCCGGTACCACTTGCCGTGTGGTAGCAGAGAGAACAGTATGACTTGGGTGACTGGAGTCTTTGACAATTTTTTGGGCTTTCCTCTGACACCGCCAAGTATATAGGTCCTGGATGGAAGGAAGCTTTGCCCCAGTGATGTTCTGTGCCGTACGCACTACCCTCTGTAGCGCCTTTACAGTCAGATGCCGAGCAGTTGCCATACCAGGCGGTCCCCTGTAGCTCAGTTGGTAGAGCATGGCGCTTGCAACGCCAGGGTTGTGGGTTCGTTTCCCACGGGGGGGCCAGTATGAAAATGTATGCACTCACTAACTGTAAGTCGCTCTGGATAAGCGCGTCTGCTAAATGACTGAAATGTAAATGTAAAAGATACAACCGGTCAGGAGGCTCTCGATGGTGCAGCTGTAGAACTTTTTGAGGATCTGGGGATCCGTGCCACATATTTTCAGTCTCCTGAGGGGGTAAAGGTGTTGTCGTGCCCTCTTCACGATTGTCTTGGTTTGTTTGGACCATGATAGTTTGTTGGTGATGTGGAGACCAAGGAACTTGAAGCGCTCGACCCGCTCCAATACAGCCCCGTCGATGTTAATGGGGGCCTGTTTGGCCCGCCTTTTACCTGTAGTCCACCAATCAGCTCCTTTGTCTTGCTCATATTGAGGGAGAGGTTGTTGTCGTGGCACCTCACTATAGGCTGTCTCATCGTTGTCGGTGATCAGGCCTACCACCGTTGTCGTCAGCAAACTTAATGATGGTGTTGGAGTCATGTTCGGCCACACAGTCGTAGGTGAACAGGGAGTACAGGAGGGGACTAAGCCTGCATCCCTGAGGGGCCCCAGTGTTGAGGATCAGCGTGGCAGACGGGTTGTTGACCTGTTTTAAAGGTCTTGCTCACATTGCTACCGAGAGCGTTATCACTCAGTCGTCCGGAACAGCTGGTGCTCTCATGCATGCTTCAGTGTTGCTTGCCTCAAAGCTAGCATGAAAGGCATTTAGCTCGTCTGGTAGGCTTGCGACACTGGGCTGCTCGCGGCTGGGTTTCCCTTTTGTAGTCCATAATCGTTTTCATGCCCTGCAACATCCGATGAGCGGTCAATGCCGGTGTAGTAGGATTCAATATTAATCCTGTATTGACGCTTTGCCTGTTTGATGGTTTGTCTAAGGGCGTAGCGGGATTCCTTATAAGTGTCCCGCTCCTTGAAAGCTGCAGCTTTACCTTTTAGCTCAATGCGGATGTTGCCTGTAATCCATGGCTTCTGGTTGGGATATGTATGTACGGTCACTGTGGGGACGTTGTCGATGCTCTTATTGATGAAGCCGATGACTGGGGTGGTATACTCCTCAATGCCATTGGATGAATCCCGGAACATATTCCAGTCTGTGCTAGTGAAACAGTCCTGTAGCGTCGCATCCGCGTCATCTGACCACCTCCGTATTGAGCGAATCAATGGTGCTTCCTGCTTTAGTTTTTGCTTGTAAGCAGGAATCAGGAGGATATAATTATGGTTAGAATGGAGGGCGAGGGAGAGCTTTGTATGCGTTTGTGTGTGGAGGAAAGATGGTCCAGAGTTTTATTTTTTTTCTTCTCTCTGGTTGCACATGTGACATGGTGTTAGGTAAAAACGGATTTAAGTTTGCCGCTGCTCAGCAGATGTGGGAACTCCTTCAAGACTGTTGGAAAAGCATTCCTGATGAAGCTGGTTGAGAGAATGCCAAGAGTGTGCAAAGCTGTCATCAAGGCAAAGGGTGGCTACTTTGAAGAATCTCAAATATAAAATATATTTTGATTTTGTTTAACACTTTTTTGGTAACTACATGATTCCAAATGTGTTATTTCATAGATTTGATGTCTTCATTATTCTACAATGTAGAAAATAGTAAAAAATTAAGAAAAACCCTTGAATGAGTAGGTGTTCTAAAACCTTTGGACCGGTAGTGTGTGTGTGCACTTTATTTTCTGGGAATTTGTGTCTTTGTCTGGGAGTCCAATCTATCCCCTTCGTGGTCTCTGAATACCTGACAACCTCATAGTGCACGCTCTCTTTCTACCTGTCATCATCCCTCTGCCTCTCATTCCTCTCCTCACCCATGAAGACTCTCCAGGAGGATGGGATGGCGGACGCAGCAACGGCTTCGCCAACGGTTACCATGACAACCGCAATGGGGGACGCGGCGGGCCTCCCCGAAATGACAGAGGTGGGCGTGCCAGCTACCGCGGTAACACCATGGGTGGCACCTCGTTTAATCAGCCAGTGCACACCGCAGGTGGGGAAACCTACTGTGCCAAATAGTATTTATCTATTCATCACTAATAATAGTAATTACAATACTAATAAACGGATACAAGTAGTATGTAATGTATTATGCTGTAGATCTGGTCCTCCTAGATCCTACTGTGCATATAGACTATAAAAACAATTATAATAATGGTAATACTAGTTATAACTTCTAATAGTAGACGGAATCTGCAGAGGCAGAATTTCCTTGAATCACCAGCAATGGAAATAATGTATGAAATAAAATGCGTGTTAATACAAATCAAACCTATTTTAATAGTTATTGATAAAATACAGACAATGCTGGAAGGGTACAGTTGGGGGGGAAAAACACCCCTGCATATTCCGTCTTACCCTATACTCATATCATTCGATCTAATCAATCAAATCTATTTACCAAAGTAGCTTATTTCCCGAACAATATTTTGATGGTGGTAGGCCATTCCTGCATGCCGGTGGGATGATTTAATGTAGCCACAGTTACTCACTGATCTGTACACTCTCCCTACCCAGGGTTTGGTGGTGGACAAGATGGTGGAGGCTGGGGAGGTGCTCCCAGACAAGATGCAGCCTATAACAGCTTTGGAGGGAGGGGCAAGTCTTCCTTCTACAGTGACCGTGGATCATCAGGGGGCAGAGGGGGGTAAGGACCAGTCAGTGCACTGTCTGTTGGAACTATGTATTGACCCATACAAATATGTGTTGAGCAGTGTGTCTGTGGGGGTCTGTTGTAGTTATCAGCGTGGAGGTTATGGTGGTGGAGGTAACAACCGCTGGCAGGAAGACTCCAGGGACGACGAGGACTGGTCCAAACCCAGCCCCGCCAACGAACGCCTGGAAGCGTGAGTCTCGCTCCTCTCTTACATTGGCCAAAACCAGTGTGTCTAGGACTTCTGCAACTTGAAGTGTGCCTTTTTATATAAGCATACTCAACAATATTGATCTTAGATCGGTCTTAGTTTCACTCTTAACGCTGGTAGTTTGCAATATTCAGTTCAGTTATTCTGGACAACTTTTGAAGAGTCCTGTTAGACGTTGTCTTGGAAATCCCGTCTAATGTGATGTCCTCTAACCCAAACTATATTTTTCCTCTCCGCTCATCCAGGGAGCTGTTCTCAAGCGGGAACACTGGTATTAACTTTGAGAAATACGACGACATTCCAGTGGAGGCCACTGGCGCAAACTGCCCGCCACACATCGATAGTGTAAGTCACATCACTGGCTTTGCCGCCACCAGTAGTCATGTAAATCAAGGGAAATGCTGTGCATGGGAAAATGTTGAAGTGACTCTTATTGACAGAAGTCAACAGCGTAGAAGTGATCCAAAACTAACGCCGCTGGTGTTTTGGTATTTCAGTTCCATGATGTGGACATGGGGGAGATCATCATGAGTAACATTGCCCTGACCCACTACACGCGGCCCACCCCCGTCCAGAAATACGCTATCCCCGTCATCAAGTCCAAGAGAGACCTCATGGCCTGCGCTCAGACTGGTATGGGACTGAATGAATGAAGGCAATTCCACAGTGAGTGATGCTGAGGCTCAGATTTTTCACTTTAAAATGTATGTCAAATTAAACTTAGCAATCATTGGTTTTAACAAACCATAGCTATGCACAAAGACTACTTTTAAAAATGTCCACTGAAAATGTTACACAAACACATTTACTTGAAGAACAGTGCGGATGCAAAGCTTGGTAACTGAATGCCAACACAAACAGCACAATCATCATTGTGTTACCAGTGCATCTGCACTGTTCAAGTAAATGTATTTTTGTGAAATGTTCAGTGCAAGTTAAAAGTAGTCCATGTACATAGTTGTATAGTTTGTATAACTTTGCAAACAGTTTTTTTTGTTTGACTTGCATTTTAAAGTGAGATCTGAGTCTCTTCATCACTCTTATTGTGGCATCGCCCATGAAGGAAGGAAGATGCTTTACTTCAAAGGGGGAGATGCTAAAGGAAGTGCTAGCTAGATATACTTTGAATTTAAAACTTGTTTTTGGATTGTCTTTCTATCGCTTGCTACCTTTTTAGACCAGTAAAGATGAATGATTATTGTATTGAGTAAAAGACTGAATGTTCCTGTACTCAGGCTCGGGTAAGACTGCAGCCTTCCTGGTGCCAGTGCTGAGCCAGATCTACACACAGGGGCCTGGAGACGCCGGAGCGGCTGCCAAGAACGGGCAGGTACACACACACACACACACGAACAGCCTGCATCGTTGAGTTTTCCCATCTGTCTGCAACACTGCTTTACTGTGAAAGCAATTCAATTGTCCCCCTGACTTGCTGGTGTGCTATTTATGTATTCTGTGTGCTGAGGTTGACCCAACACTTGTCGTTTCTCTCCACAGGACAGCGGTAAATATGGGCGCCGTAAGCAGTATCCCCTCTCTCTGGTCCTGGCCCCCACCAGAGAACTGGCCCTGCAGATATACGAAGAGTCCAGAAAGGTATGGGCTACCCCCCCTCCCCATTGGACAGAACATGAAGGATCTTGTAGTGACGCTGTAATAGAGTATCCTAGTGGTGGTTAAGGAAGATGGACCGGTTGTTGACTTGAAAGTTGCTGATTCCGAACATGTTGAATGATTGCAGCTAGATAAAGAAAATATCGACCTCTTTTCTTGGCATGCACGCCGTTTCCTTGTACTCGTGTGTATGTTATGGAGGGACAAAATGCCCAGTGCTATGTCTTCGGTGCCAGAATGTTTCTCGTCTTCTGGTTCTATCCTCAGTCACTGGTATACTCTTATCATGTTGAAATGGATGGGCATCAGGTTCTATGTAATCTGAGTGTTCTGCAGGCAGATGTGAATCTATGTAACATCTGCTATAGAACAATACTCCAAAGACGACAAAAGGATAATGGTTAATACTGAATTATGGGCAGTACTAGGGTTCTGAACGGTCCTGTGTATGTCTTCCCCCTGTAGTTTGCGTACCGCTCCCGCGTGCGTCCCTGCGTGGTTTACGGTGGGGCTGACATCGGACAGCAGATCAGAGACCTGGAGCGAGGCTGTCACCTTCTGGTGGCCACACCCGGACGCCTGGTGGACATGATGGAGAGGGGCAAGATTGGCCTCGACTACTGCAAGTGAGTGGGGCAGGCGCTCGGGCTTACGAGTTAGCTCGGGCTTACGAGTTAGCTCGGGCTTACGAGTTAGCTCGGGCTTACGAGTTAGCTCGGGCTTACGAGTTAGCTCGGGCTTACGAGTTAGCTCGGGCTTACGAGTTAGCTCGGGCTTACGAGTTAGCTCGGGCTTACGAGTTAGCTCGGGCTTACGAGTTAGCTCGGGCTTACGAGTTAGCTCGGGCTTACGAGTTGGCTAATGTAAGTAATTGACCTGAGTGCTAAGTGAACTGTTTCTGTCATCCACGTCAGCTACCTGGTGCTGGATGAGGCTGACAGGATGTTGGACATGGGCTTTGAGCCCCAGATCAGACGCATCGTGGAGCAGGACACAATGCCCCCTAAAGGCATCCGCCAGACCATGATGTTCAGCGCTACCTTCCCCAAGGAGATTCAGGTAAACACACACACCGGTAGTAATGACGAAAGCTTGAGAAGCTGAGTCAAACCCTTGGTGTGTGTTTCTGACTGTGTGTGTTTCTTACTGTGTAGATGCTGGCGCGTGACTTCCTGGAGGACTATATCTTCCTGGCCGTGGGCCGCGTGGGCTCCACCTCTGAGAACATCACCCAGAAGGTGGTGTGGGTGGAGGACGGTGACAAGAGGTCCTTCCTCCTGGACCTGCTCAACGCTACAGGTAAGGAACACGCACGAATTAAAGACACCAACTCTACACTGTAAGACTCAAACCCTTCACACACTCACATTCTCACACCCATTCTCGCACAAACAAACCAAACTCCATCCTAAACACATGTATAACGTTCAGTCACAGATGTATTGAAAATAATTCATAACACTTGCTAAGGTTATCTAAGAGGGTACATTGTTAGCCTTTTCCCTTGCCCCCCACCCCCAGCCACCTGTTAGTCTGTCCGCCCAAAGTAAATGAACATCCACATGGACACAATTGTCTCCTAAACTAGTTGGCATGATGAACCTTCACCATTCTCCTCTGGGTGAAACAGAGGGTGGTTGATGGGAAAGCGCTAGTTTTCACATCTGTTAAGTGTTAAGTTGCTCCATACTGCCTTTGGTTTACTGTGCTGGGCGGTTTGGTTTTATCTAGTCATTCCCAGTGACGCTCCTGATGTTCAGGAGGCTGCAGTGACACCTGGTAAGTATTATTATGGTACTATTAACCCCCCCCCCCCCCCACATCTCCCTCTTTCTCCTTTCATTATTTCTCAGAGGAGCTTTAGGGCCAGAAATAATGCTTGCAGTCTCAGGGCCAGGGGAATCCTACCCTTAGGTCAGGGGTGGGCAACTCCAGAGCTGTGGTGTGCAGGCTTTTATTCTAGCCCAATACTAAGACACTAATTTGAGTCTAATTGACACCATAGCAGCCCTCCAGGACCTGGGTTGGCCAGCCCTGTCATTAGAACCAGCGGTAACGCTTGCCACCCTTAAAGGAGGTTTCTAAGTGGAGCACAGCTATTTTTCCTCTCTCTTTGGAAAAGGAAGTGTTTCTGGCTTGGTGTTACTGTCTGGGATGATTTTCAACTCTCACACACACAGCATGTGTAGGGAGATTAAGGACACGTTGGGCTGTTTGTCTTTGGAAACTGAGCTACACCTTCTGTTAGTCAAGCAGTTACGTCTATTATGGGTTGAGTCAGTCTACGGTAAATAAAGTACACATAAACCCCTCTGTATTAGCATCTTGTACGTGTCCCGATGTTCCTTGGCAACTAGTAAAACAGCCCATCATGGAGATTAACAAATAACCTAGATGTCACAGGAAGCTAGGACCAAAGCAAGCAGACATCTTTATCACCATGGTAACCAGGACCTAAGAGGTGGACATGCGTGTAGATACCCAAGCCCTGTTTTGAATACTTAGAAAAGACAACCTCACAGAAGAATGGAGTGATATCTTTGATGCATGCCTGGATAGATGAATGCTTGTCTTCCATGCCATAGGATGTTATCCTTCATCTATCCAAACATGTCAGATCAGTAATTAATCCAAGGAAGACATTTTACAAACCTGGTCCTGGACTCCCATCGCTCAGTGTTGCCATGCCAACCATACCAAACACGGCCTACCTGCCACTAAATGCTGCTGCTGTGGAAACAGGCATAGGGTCATCAGAGAATATCATCAATGCCCCCATCCCCCAATCCCCATATCCCCATACCACCATCTCCATCCAGTTTCACTGTCGAGTGTTTGCTCTGATAGCCATTAATGCCGTGTTAGTCCACTGTAGATAAAACAATGAAGCTACTCACTCCAAATAGTACCGTTCCAAATGGCTGTGAAGACATTTTGAGTTATGGGACAGTCGGCTGGTTCTGATATGAGGACATTTGGCATGTAAACTCTGTAAAACAGAACCTATATAAACTTAATGGATGTCAGTGAAAGCGAAGCTGCTTCTGCACCCCTGGTCTCCATTTTTCAGTTGCCTTTTTTGTTTCTTTGCACCACGGTGATGAGGTTGGGAACATTACCTGCTCTGTTAGTGCAGTCCATTTTGACTTCCTGCTCCCCTCGCCCCACAGTCTAATGTCTTAATCCCACTCATAGCCTGTGAGCTAAGTACTCAAAGTTTTTCTTTTTTCCCTCTTTCTCTGTCTTTCGGTCTCGCGCGCTCTCTAGGTAAGGAGTCTCTGACGTTGGTGTTTGTGGAAACCAAGAAGGGAGCGGATGCCCTGGAGGACTTCCTGTACCGCGAGGGCTACGCCTGCACCAGTATCCACGGAGACCGCTCCCAGAGAGACAGAGAGGAGGCGCTGAACCAGTTCCGCTCCGGTCGCTGCCCCATTCTGGTGGCCACCGCGGTACGACAACACGCACACACTCTGTCAACACAGAAGTAGTGACGTCATTCTCCCTTTTTAATCTAGCATGCATCCAAACGTATCAAGATTTTAATTGAAGCTACATCAGTAACGTTGATCACCTAATGAACGGTTTTCCCCTTGCCGGTTGAATAGTGTTTCCCTCTGTGTGACTGACTGCCTGTTGTATCTCTCCTCCTCCAGGTGGCTGCTCGTGGTCTGGACATCTCCAACGTCAAGCACGTTATCAACTTTGACCTGCCCAGCGACATTGAGGAGTACGTCCACCGTATCGGTCGTACTGGTCGCGTGGGGAACCTGGGTGAGTGGGACTAGTGTTGGGGGGGTGTCTCCCATCATGACCTGTTTACTGTGTATGTCATGTAGAGGTGGGTTGTGGGTAGGATTTTGACCCGGCCCAGCTTTAACACACCAGGGTCCTGTTCATAAGGGCATGCAAATAAAGAAAGCTGTTGAACGTTTTGCGACGAAAAACGGGAATGAGCTTTCTTTTGTTTGCTGCATAATTAACATGACCCTGACTAAATGGATAAATCACTAAATTAGCCTTGGAATTGCATCATATTGTTAGGGATAGCTAGGTTATGTGTGTTCCTCTGTCACTCACCTTGTGTATCCAGTTCTGTTGTCAGTCTGACATCCGGTTGGTTGTATAATGAGAATGCTGTGATCGCATGGCTCTGCACAACGGTAGAGATTGTCCCGTTGTGTTGGAAACTGCAGAGCGCATTACCGCACTACCACTGGTGCACGTTTAACAGAAGGTTGGGGTGCCGGTGAATAGCGGTGTGGTGTGTGTGTGTGTGTGTTGGTCATGCGCGTCAGTAAGTATCACTTCTCATGACTGGGATGCTAAGAAACGAGAATAACTCCAGATAAACACTAAATCCACAATATTACGTAAGATCACACACTGCATTAATTGTTTTTAAGAAGCCTTAAAGTATTAGTCTTTCAAGAACTCAAGTTCCTCATTCCACCACATGCCAAGGAGAGTTTTGCTATGTGGTCTGTGTGTGTAGCGTATTGAGCCCTGTCCTCTCATCTGTGTGTGTAGGTCTGGCCACGTCGTTTCTTCAACGACAAGAACAGCAACATCACCAAAGACCTGCTGGACATCCTGGTGGAAGCCAAGCAGGAAGTACCCTCCTGGCTGGAGAGCCTGGGTTACGAGAACCAGCACAAGGGCAACACGGGACGCGGACGCTCCAAGAGGTACACACACTCGCACACCTTTTCAGGGAAGTTAACGGACCACTTATGTTGATTTTTAGATCAAAGATATTCTCAAGAAAGGAGAATGCCAACTACTTGTTCTGTGTATCAACCTTTCCTCTCTCTCCACCCAGGTTTTCCTCTGGTGGATTTGGTGCCAGGGACTACCGCCAGACACCCGGCGGCGGCGGCTTTGGAGGTGGTGGTGGGCGCGGCGGCCCTCGCACCGGGGGTCACGGAGGAGGAGGAAGTCGTGGCGGCTTCGGTGGAGGTAAGAGCTAGGCCCTCTTCAGAACCACTCTGAATGTCACTTTAGTTTTTATCATGATCATTTGGAATGAACGTTTCGATCATGTGTGAGGGGTGATCTCTGCTGTTTTTATCGCTGTATGTGAATTACTGAATTTATTGGACTTTCTATCTATTTGAGATTTGACCCCTGTCCTTCCCAGGTGGCTTTGGAGGCGGAAACTCCTATGGTGGCAACGACGCCGGCTACGGTGGCAACTACAGCCACTCCGGTAGTGGAACTGACTGGTGGGGCAACTAGTCGCCATAGCAACCCGGTTGCCACGCCAACCAAACTCATCCTCTCACGGAAACCACATGTTGACTACGCCAGACTAAAACACCCCCTGCCCCCCCCTCACTCAACCCTGTGTAGTTTCACTGACACACAGTACATTGCACACACTCTGATTCTCTGCCCCTTCGCTTCTCTCACAAGGAGCAAGACTCAACGCCAAGACTACCAGCGCAGCGCCAATCTATTGGAAAAGAGCAGAGACCTTTTTAGATAAAAGGAGTGCTGACATGTATGGTCTGATATAGAAACTCAGACTTTCCTTCAAAACGGCAACTCCTTTTTTCTTTAGATAAACAGAAAAGAAACAAAGAATAACCTGAGGATCATTTGTATGTTAATGTACTGTGCCTTTTGAATTTAGACAGGACTAATTCTGTGTTGTCATTTCACCAAATGAATGTGGCCAAGCGCTCTAAATTGTTATTTATTTGGTGAAAAAAGAAGCATAGAGAAAAAAAAAAAAAAAAAAAAATGCTTGTACTTAATCAAACCTTGGCAAACACTGGGGCATTGTGGCTCGTTCGAGTCATGAATCCATTTGAACCTTACAAAATTGTCGCAGTGACATCATGTAGCCTTTTCTCGGGTTCAGCCCAGAGTTCCAACAGCTAACATCACTGTAGCGTCCGACATCACTGGGCCGTACTCCTAGTGTGGCTAATAGAACTGTATTCTAATCTTTAAGGGACGAAGAGTTCGATTACTTTTTCTTTTTTTGCTCACTCTATCCTGGATAGGCTCCTCTATAAAGGATACGGTAGTCTTTCGAAAAGCCATTCCAGTTGTGATCTCTTAACACGGAAAGTCGTTAAGCTCAATGCTAACAAACGCACACTGGGGTTTAATTCAAACAACGCAAACACTCAATGTTGGAACTTGTTACTCCACATCTATTGACTTGACTTGACAGTGTTATGGCAGCTAGTAAAGTTAACTAAACGCTAGCTACATTAACTGGGCAGTGTTTTTTTTGTTTTACTTAAACTGTAAACATTTGAAGTGGGCGCATGCGCGGTATTGATAAAGTTTTTTGATTTGAGTGAAATGTTTCTCCACACCTGTAACAAAAAATGGCGCCATCTTGGAAGTGAAGTTCAAAATGGCTGCATAAGGACCACAGCGTCGGGGGGGGGGGGGGGGGGGGGCACAGTATGGCGCGACGTTAACGTTAAACAGTCTTACCGTTGACCGAGCGGCGGAGCCGGTATTCTACGCATGCTAGTGTTTTGTTTTTTGGTCAAGGAGATATAAGACAAATGAACTGAGTCGCAGGCTTAACTTAATTAAAACCTTTTTCTCTTTTCAAGCTGCGTTGGAGGCGTGGTTCATCTATCAGAGACAGGAGCAGTATGAGGTCCATCACTAAGGGTTAACCAGTCAGAAAGCAAATTGACTGTACAGAGCAGGACAGTTGTGTTATGGGGTGAAGGTCGGGTTAGGGCTCAAGTTCATTGCTTTGGTTTCCATTGCTCCTTGCTGTGGAGGTGCCCAAAGATGGGCGACTTTTGTCCCCTTCCTTATGGTATATACGTACTGTCAACTCCTCTTGGGGTTTGTCTGCTTTAGATGTGTATAAAGCTCTGGTACCGAATGGCCTGACGAGGCTTTTCCACTCAAAGAGGAGCAGCAAATGAGAGGAGGAGAGAAGGGGCATTTGGTGATCTCTAAGTGCTCTACATTTCTTCTCTAGTGTGTTGTGCCTTTGAAAACTTTTTAAATTGATAAACCTAAAAAGTGGATGCACTGACAGTGTTTGAGAACTTGGATTGAATGGTGCTACTTGAGTTTGTGTGTAGGCCCTTGTTTGTTGTCGTGCCCATCAAGTTTTACAAAAGTTATTTTATTGCACATCTAGAGTTTTATATAAATGTCTTGAATACGTGTCCTTAAGCTTCCAAATATTGTGTAAGGAGATTGTGGAAAAAAACGCAGCTTGTTTACAAAGGGGAAGGGTTCTCAACATTTAACCAGGATTTTTTTGGGACCAGGGGGTTAAGCAGTTGGAATTTAGCCATTTGCACACAGATTTCTAGATTCTACTTTTGCTGCTAGTTTTGTGTAATTTATTAAGCATTTTTGAGAAATATTTATTTTTCTAATCCTCAGTGGTTCTTTGAAAGTTTCAAGAAACTTGACCAAAAGACGGTAACAAAAACACTGGCACTTGAATGTTGAATGTCACCTGTATGCGTGAAAAATTTATATATTTCGGGGTAGTGTGAGCTTTTTAATGTTTAAGACATATTGGACTCTGTCAATAATAATATCCACAGCTGTTTCGAGGCCTTGGGCCCTGACATATCTAAATACTAGCTAGATAGTCAGATTGGCCTTCAAAAGAAAAATGGAATTAAACAGACATGCCAAGGTTTGGAATTAAAGTTCTCAAAAGAGCAAAAGCTAATTTTCCTAAACGTACCGGTGCAGAAGTGCACGGGATTGTCCAATTGTGTGCATTGTGTTTATAATAACTGTATTCCAATTTGACCTATATCATTTTTTTTTTGGTTCCAGTGAATGTCTGGCACATGGCAATCTTTAAAAAAACAAACATGGTTTATTCTCTGCATTTGCATATATGGCACCTGCGGTAATTGTTTTCCCTCAGAGTATTGAGCAGGTCTCCACTGCAGTAGTGTTCCCACAGTAGCAGGACATTTCACTACTAGCCTGGCCACAGGATGACTATGCTATTACCACCACTTACTTGCTCAGTGCCCTGAGGAGAAAAACCCAGAGGTGTTTAGATGTGGACTTTGCTTTCTGTACTAGCTTAGAGGCTACTGCACTGCATGGGGAAAGACTTGGCTGTGCGACTATTGTAATGATTTTACCAAAATAAAAAGTTTGAATGCAAAAGTACCTTATTATAAAATGTAAGCATGTTTTATAAGATTTGTTATAAATGTAGGACAGGCTATTGCCAGGAGTGGCTGCGGCAGAGAGGAGCTGCAAAGTTGGCGTTGGTTGAGATTTGATAGGCTTCAGTTCTTTTGAAGATGAAGAAAAACAAATAGATTTCATTATTAAAACAAACCCTGTGTCACTTGTCTTATTTTTGGATTCCCTGTATGTCTTTGTCAAATCAGGGTCGTGTTCTATAGTGCACAAATTAGCCAAATGTTTTTTTAAGGGACAATTAAGATGAGCGTTCTTATTGGGCAAGTTCTGGTGGTATCCCTTGGCCCTGTTTCTCAAAAACATTTATGTTTCGTGCCTACTGAACATAACCGGGAAGTTGTGATCAAGTCACTGGGCACAAGGTGGTTAAATCAGCGTAATTTGTCAATGTATTGTATGTGGAAAATGCATTGCATTTGAAAAAAGTCATCAATTTGTTTTAAAGGTTGACATTTCAACTGCAGGATTGTCATGGTAACCAAATTGTATTGGTTACCATGTGGTCCTCCGTAGCTCAGCTGGTAGAGCACGGCGCTTGTAACGCCAGGGTAGTGGGTTCGATCCCCGGGACCACCCATACACAAAAAAAATATGCACGCATGACTGTAAGTCGCTTTGGATAAAAGCGTCTGCTAAGTGGCATATTATTATTATAATAAATTTCATCAGACTAACCTTATAAAATATTACATTTGTTCCTGTGGTCTTCAATGTTATATCCGCTATAAGAAAAATAAACAGTCTGTGTAGCACCTACTGGAGAATTTATACATCTACAGGTCTCCCATCCAGGGTTTTAACCAAGCTTAGCTATGATATTTACCAATGTGCTAGTGTGAGAATGATTGAGGGAGCTCCACTTAACTGAATAAAAACATGCAACAATTTCAAATAGTTTCCGGAGTTACAGTTCATATATAAGGAAATTAGTCAATTGAAATACATTCATTAGGCCCTAATCTATGAATTTCACATGACTGGGAATACACATATGCATCTGTTGGGGCATGGATCAGAGAACCAGTCAGTATCTGGTGTGACCACCATTTGCCTCATGCAGCGCGACACATCTCCTTCGCATAGAGTTGGTCAGGCTGTTGATTGTTGTCCCACTCTTCAATGGCTGTGTGAAGTTGCTGGATATTTGCGGGAACTATAACACGTTGTCGTACATGTTGATCCAGAGCATCCCAAACATGCTCAATGGGTGACATGTCTAGTGAGTATGCAGGCCATGGGGAGAACTGGGACGTTTTCAGCTTCCAGGAATTGTGTACAGATCCTTGCGACATGGGGCCATGTATTTTCATGCTGAAACATGAGGTGATGATGGCGGATGAATGGCACGACAATGGGCCTCAGGATCTCGTCACGGTATCTCTGCATTCAAATTGCCATTGGTAAAATGCAATTGTGTTCATTGTCCGTAGCTTATGCCTGCCCATACCATAACCCCACCTCCACCATGGGGCACTCCCTCAAATTTGAGACATCTGTGGCATTGTGTTGTGTGACAAAACTACACATTTTAGTGTGGCCTTTATTGTCCCCAGTACAAGGTGCACCTGTGTAATGATCATGCTGTTTAATCAGCTTCTTCATATACCACAACTGTCAGGTGGATGGATTATCTTGGCAATGGCAAAGGAGAATTGCTCGCTAACAGGGATATAAACAAATTTGTGCACAAAATCTGAGTGAAATAAGCTTGTATGGAATATTTCTGGGGTCTTTTATTTCAACTCATGAAACATGAGACCAACACTTTACATGTTGCGTTTCTATTTTTGTTCAGTATGTATAGCATTTGCTAATTCATCAACAGCTATTGTTTCAATTCAACCCAGAATTCAACTAACAATAGACAATACAATAGGCCTAGGGTTTCAAGATATGGTTGATTTCAAACGTAATGATATTTAGTGATAGAATTTTGTCTGGTTGTCAACGCAACCACATATCAACATTTGAAGGAGATCTTCTGCTTGAATAGTTCCATCTGAGCCACTGACTTGGTCTGGCTTTAACTCCACTTGGTCTACAAATGAATAATTGCTACGTTG